ATATCTCATTTAGAACATTCCAGTACTCAAAACTTCTTTTCTGCTCTACTAGTGAACTTTTCTAAATGACGGAGAAGGCCTTAAGCTCCTTTATGGGATTACAATAAACGGAAAGTATTAAACGGAAACCATATGTCGCACTATAAAATAAAGTTGCATCAGAAGTCGGCAAGGTCCTAGAAAACCAGGCCGAATCCCTTGTCAGGGACATTCCCGCCTTTCGGCGCTGTTGATTGGAGGCGGCAAGTCACGTGACGCCTCTAGCCCTCCATATGGCGATAATTTCCCTTCAGTTCTTTACCGTGCATTCATGATGTGCATTTCTCCTAGCTGAATTTCGACGTTTTGTCATCTCAAATGGTGCGTATCTGTGCATTCGGACGTAGCAACTCCTCTCAAAACTGGATGGAGGCTGTTTCACTTCCCGCGAATCCTTGAAAGACCCTAAGGGCATGTCATACGAAAATATGACATGTCCTCAGGTATAGTATATCACGGTGATTATGCCACTTATTTAAAATACAGTTCCGTAATAGAGAGCTTGTCTTATTGGAACAGACTGAATTAAAGAGAGAGAGAAAAAACAATGGTCAGCCTTTTCATTCTGGTGTTGCCAAACGAGACGCGACAGGATTCACATAGTATTCAGAGAAGGCTTGTCTAAGACGGAAGTCATCCCTGCGGGGAGGCGGAAGGGAAGGAACGAAAGAGATTTCTTCAATGTGAATAGGACGACTCTAAGCCGCAGATGGTGATGATAGTGACGCTACGCTACAGTGAATCACAGGAAGAGGAAGCCGAAAGAGAATGCTTCTCATTCCTACCTCCAATGACAAGATAGCTGGAGTGATAGGAGGGATAATTTCACTTCACGAATTCTGAGTAGTTTTTGTTCAAAATTTTTTTACTGACCATGTACAGCAATCAGGTGAAATCATTAGAACGTTAATTAGTGGGGCTTTTTTAATCAGTCCGAAAACCATTCATGTCACATTCCCATTCAAAAAGGTTCGTACCTGCCAAGTTGCCCCTGAAGCCGAAGATTAAGGGAAAACATGCCTTACCTCTTTTGCCAGGGTTTCTTTATTTGTTACACTTCCTGTTCCATAATTGGCGACAGGGGCAATTTATGAAATGAGATCGATTTAAGTTCAACTCTATCAGGCGTAATATTTTGATAGGGAATTATTTTTCGACAAAGATGTCTGAAAACACAGAACATTCCAATATATAAACATTTTAAGTGTCTGGAGGATATATTTAAAATTTTCATAATATATTTGCATCACATATATCTTTTTTCATGAAGTTTGACGATATCTATATTTGTATAGTGTTATTAAATAAGTAAATTCAAATTAGGTGCATATCATCCATGGAGTCAGTTCTGCTTATAGGCCTATGGACACAACCGAGATATGTGCACAGGCATACATCCAGACGACTCCGAGGCCGTCAAAAAATGTTAGGAAGAATTCAGTAGTAGCAGAAGTGGTACCAAGTCGTGCAGAAAATGTGCACGGGAGATGTGATTTCGTGGACAAACGAAACCGGATCGTGATTTGGAGTTTCCCCCGAGGGCAGGGTATTTGTCCATAGCCAGAACTGAAAGCGAAGGGAAACGTGTTTCGTCCCCCCAGTCCCTCTCCGGCTCCATCAGCATCTGTGCGTGAAGGCCATAGGAGGAGGGATGTCTGCCGTCTTTGTCCTCACGCTTGCGCTTACTGTCGCGTTCGCGTCGAGCGCCCGTTTTCCACGCCAGGCCCAATCCAGGTCCATCGTGAGTCCTTTTATCATCTCTAGATCATTTCGCAAGGTCGTTACGCAATACTCACCTGTTCCTTCGCCTCCATTCCTCTTACCTTTCTTTTAAACGTGTTTTCATCATTGAAATACTACCCAAATTTATTGCAGTGGGATATAATATGTGCAATAAATGAACAGTACAATTCAGGACAGTTCTTTACTATATACATGTTGCCAAACAGGATGCGGTTTTTTTGGTCGAGGTTTTTCCCTTGTACCTGATGATGGGAAATCCCCGATGCCCCGAAGGCATGGTATTTTCAAGGTGATTTCTGGTATAAATGATGAATACTTCCACGTTTCCCCTTGTCTCAAGATCTCTTACATGGGGATATGTACGCCGAGATTCCCAATATATGGCACAAATTCGCGTAAGTACTCAATGTAAGGCCATGTTTCTGCTGTCACATGTCTGCGTGTGGTCCATCGCTGCCCTTGATGTTCAGAAGTATCAGCAAAAGCCTCCATTGGCACATTCGTTGTCACCGAGTCAAGGAAGGTCGTAGACAGTAGAGGCCTGCACGGACTTATTTTGTTTTTCAGTCCGACCCGATCGGTTCCATTTGAGTATTGGCCCGCACCCGACCAGAAACCCAATCGTCATCCGGGCTTCGCTGCCCGACCCGAGCCGAGCAAAATAATAATAATAATGACCTCAGTTTTCGGTTTATTTCTGAATGGCATGGTGAACGTGGAGGTGCAATACAGTGCCCTCTCCACATAACGGAGAAAGTCTGGGAACAAGTAGTCCACATCATTCCAGATCACTGTGCAAAAGTAGATTACCCACAGTCTCAATACGTTAATTATTCTCCTTCTCGCATATTACATGCAGATTACATGATTCCCAAGTGAGATTCCAGTCTAGATGCAGATTGCTCTCAGCCTGGGGAACATTACAAAATAATTACAACCCGACCCGAGAAGAAATTTCAAGAGGTTCTTAGGAATTTTGACCATCAGCAGTCAGACCAATTGGGCCATCCCGCAGCTTGTTAAGGGTTGGGTTCTTCTCTACAGACTACTTTTCATGATTTCTTCGCGATTTTCGTTATGTCTTCGATGTCAACGAATTACAGATGTGAAACCTCTCCGGCGGTTTTAGGGAAACTTTGCCTGATGAGTGGTGGAAATTATGTTGGTGAGGATATCTGAAATTGCCTTAGCATGATGTCAACAAATATGGAAGAACATCAGATTCCGAGAACTTGGAAGTATAATCGGGTGAATATAATTTTTTTTTTACAGGGCTTCGATTCCTGTATTGGAACTTAATGTTCTTACAGTGAATATGGCATTCAAGTAAGCGTACAGACAGGTTGCGCTAACGTCACAGCATAACAGAAAACGCATGTTCTTCCAGTCATGTTGGATGACAAGGGAGCGGTTTTTTCAAATGATCACTCACAAAATTCGTGCTCTTCCTTTTGATGCCATATATTCTTTTTCAACTTAACGTTCAACGTAACTTTCAATCTCGATGCATCAGCATAAAAACTCGCTATCTTCACAAGATAGCGATTTTAGCGAAATGGTCACAACGTGAAAATTTGGATCCTCACGCACTCAATGCCAAGGCGCTACTGATGACTAACCTAGGATTAGCCAGAAGTCCTTATATAAAGCGGTGTAGTGTTGGGAAAAGGGGGGGGCACGTGCCCCCCACTTTGCAAGAAATAAATCCAAAAAAAGGCGGCCATGAAATGCATGAATATTCCGGAGTTCTCCCCTACCACACTTTTTCCCTCCACGATACGCTTATGCTTATACTGTATACGAAGGCCTACGTATAGCAGTGGCGGCTCGTCAGGGGAGGCAAGGGAGGCCAGGCCTAAAAAATTCTCAGGTGACCCTTCCCCATACAATTGAAATTATCCATTAGGATAGCAAATAACTGAGAGAAATCTTTGACAATCATTGAATTCATTCTCAATTGACACAAAACGAGCGAAGTCCGGTCTCTGACAATTTATTCCTGCCCAGAATCGCGTATGGGAGGCCAGAGCCTGGTGGCCTTCTCTGGCTCATAGACAATGCATAGGGGTACCCCATAGCACTAGCAATACAATAATTTACGAGAGCAGGGAGGCCGGCCTCACCGTCTGCATTGCGCATGAACGGATGCCTGCTAGCAACAGCTAGCACGTACTTAGGCCCCTTTGCCTCAAGTAGTGAGTTTTTTGGTCTTCCAAATTCGCATTGCCAATTTATATCTACGCAGTTGCCATGGATGAAAAGACACTATATATATTAAACATAAGTATGATATTCACTGAGTGCGCTAGAAGGGATTTTGTCTAGATATTTTGTGAAAGTCGCGAAGGGAGAAAGTCGTCAGACCAATTCTTTTATCCTCGGGCCGGATGCACCTCTTCTCTCACTCAAGTGTTCGAGGGAAGTTTTAATTTCCACTCTGCTTTTGAGTGATTTCGATACAATATGAACTGTAAATATGAAACGGTTCATTGCTCAGCAACTGACCTAAGCGCACCTTTCGTGCTTCATGCTCCCGTTAATACTTCAATGAATTCTAAATTCTGGCAGCAACACATTCCTAGTCGAATCGGTCGAGCACGCTCTGAAGTTCTGAAGCTGTCGAGACCGGGCCAAAAGGCATCATCGACATTTCTGGTGAACAAGACTTGCCTATTGAGAAAGCAAATGTACAGTATGTATCTGCTCTTCGCATCCAGTCGATTCCAATCAAACAAGCTATTTACAACCACATTCGCGTGCTATTTCTTCCACCTAAAAAAATTATTGATCCTATCTGGCACTAAATAATTAATTAATTAATTATTTGTCACATCTAGCAGATTGCCCTAGGCAAGTGCCCTTTTGTCTGGATCTTATCCTTTGAAAGTCACAAGACAAAAACTGTTGAGTTGAGATTGCTGGAATAATTGGAAGTTTTAACTTAATATTTCGTCATAACAGCCTGCAGATAGGATCGATAGATCGATTCTATCGAAGATAACGTGAAAGGGAAAAAACAGAACGCCGACTGTTGTGTTTAAGACTATCGAAATCCCCATATCCTTCCGCAGATTTTTCTATGAGGTTAGAACAGCCCGATATCGCATCAGCAGCATTTTCTTTTCCCTTTTCATGCGCATCATTTGTAGCTTTGGCAGTTGTACCCATTCAGGACGTCCTCAGTGCCTACATAACTCTTCTTCCTCGAATTCCTGAATATGGACAAGAGATTGCAACTCACTCCAGATCGAGATACTGGTACATTCCAGGTTTAGGCTTTCTTCGTTTTGTTTTGCTTTGGACAATATCATTTGGCTTTAAAACTTGGCGGTCATTTTACAGGGATTTCCAAGGAGAGTCAGGAGCATCTGGTTCCACTACTCTCAATAATTTTTTTTTTATTGCTGGGAATATATAGCTTTCCTCTTAGTCAAACGACAGATAGCGTCAGAGTCAATCTACTCTTCAATTTAAAAAAAAATGCCGAGAGTTCATTTCCTTCTTCGGGAATTAGTTGAGCATGTGTTGCATAGTATGTGCCATGATTCCACAGAGCCATTCTGTTGTATTACCTCTTCATTGCCAAAAAATAGGCCGGAAAGCTTCGTCAGTAATGCACAGAGGAGGCACTCGTTGCTACTAACATCTCTCAGCATTTGAGATGCAACAAGGAGGTCGCGGGAGACGCAGGAAATTTTCCTCTAACCTTTCTCACTGAGACCGTTTTCATTTTTCCCTGCCGTGAATCGCCTTTCTCTTGAAGATCGTGTGAAGGTCGTTGTGAGAAAGATTCTTTTTGCATATGAAAATATGCAAGGAGAATATCTCACAAAAGGATTTTCAATTATCTTGGTGGTGAGGTTTATATTATTGCAAATCACTCTGAAAGATTGCTTGGAAATCCGTCAACTTGATGGTTCTCGTAATTATGTTATTTCCACCTGAGAATATGGCTTTTTTTTTTATTAAGTACGAGGTAGAATCCTTTTTTAAAGGCTTTTTTGCATGCTTATTTTTCATGCAACTTCCAAACATTTTTTTTATTTTGGACTCTCCTTGGAAATCCCTGTAAAATGACCGCCAAGTTTTAAAGCCAAATGATATTGTCCAAAGCAAAACAAAACGAAGAAAGCCTAAACCTGGAATGTACCAGTATCTCGAATGCACTGAAAGTAAGAAACGTCAAAGGGGACCAAAACCTTGAACGAAACAGGAGATGGAAAAAGACCGAGAACGTAGAACATATGCAAAAGAGGAATACAGTAGATGCCGTTTATTGTGATCTCTGGTTATTGTTATCTCCTCGACACGTGATAGCGAAATGGGCGAAATCGCCTCTTGATATCACTAACTCTCCTGACTCCTCCTGACTCCTGAGGTCTTTATCTTGAATCAAAAAGGAGGAATTTAAAACTCCACATTATGTGCAATACTTGGGAGAAAGTGCAGGACACCTGTTTGCCTTGTCGTTACGAACTGTCTGAATCTTGCGGTCGCGCAGAATGTCTTTCTTCCGTCGGGGCCTCGGTTTATGGCTCATAAAGAATACCTCGTACTTCTCTTTCCCGTTCCAACATACTCTGTTCCTGGCGGAGGAATTCCAAGAAGGTCTACAAATTTAGATGATCCTATTGCAGGAGGAATGTGAACCTGTAATTTCATCTTACCACCAAATTGTTCTCTTGAGGATCATTTTTTGTAGCTTCATGGGCGTCGCACGTGCCTAATGGGAAAAGCGGAGTAGGAGGACGGTCTCGTATGCGCCTGCCATTCATGTAAAATTCTCTGGAGTGAGTTGCAATCTCTTGTCCATATTCAGGAATTCGAGGAAGAAGAGTTATGTAGGCACTGAGGACGTCCTGAATGGGTACAACTGCCAAAGCTATAAATGATGCGCATGAATAGGGAAAAAATCCTCGTCGTTCTTGTATCTTCCCACTAGACCAGCTTCTTGGATTCTTCTCTAGACTGATCGCGACAAGTGAAATAGGCATCCTGTATAGTCGACAACTGAAAGGTTTACTCGAACTGCTGGAAGCATGCCGCTTTCGAAGTATGTCTTTAGTTTCCTCAAAGTAGACATTATACAGTAGACGCCGCCTATTGTGATCACGTTGGTGCAAGGAAATTCGATAACATTGAGCGGCTGATAACAATAACCAGAGATCACAATAAACGGCATCTACTGTATTCCTCTTTTGCATATGTTCTACGTTCTCGGTCTTTTTCCATCTCCTGTTTCGTTCAAGGTTTTGGTCCCCTTTGACGTTACTTTTCATTCGCCGTCATGTTACGTTCTTCATTTCAGTTCCTTCGAGGTTTCGATTTTCGGGATTTTGTCTTATGGTATTACATACTAACTCAATACCATCTAACCCTGTGAAGCAAATCTCAACGATACTCCACTTATATTTTCCATTTTAAAAAATCATTCGAACTGAAAAACAAAATTATTTTTTCCCATACTTCTCCCAGAGGTTAATTTTTCTCTCTTTGTGTTCGTTTCCTATGGATGCGAAAGTTCGCACAACGTTCACATCCAGGACGTTCGCCTTTTTGCATTGTTTCCCTTATACAAAGCCGGGTTGCTGTCTTCAGGGTGACTTTTTCATGTTTTCGTCTCGATGGCTTTTTTTCCGCCATTGCCAATTCTAGTGGCATTAATCCGGGAGGCTTTTTTTGTTTTTTTACCGGGCCAATTATTAGGCCCATGGACGAGAAAATATTTATTGTGAGGATGAGCCTCCTGCAATTCTGATCCGGTTTAGCAAGAAGTAATTATGAAATAACCCGTTTATGACAGGTTCTGTCGACATCATATGATTCCGTAACAGAGAAACAAGCCGGAGTAGTATCAGCTATTTTTTTAAGATCTAGAACTACCGGTGCAGTCATTTTGACTGCTCGCCGATTTTTAATGCACTTTACTCTGCTCCTTTGGCTACCAAGGGCCTCTGAAGTTTTTACTTTTCCTATCTAATGACATTTTGAACATTTAAAAATGTTAAACATATCAAATAACACCTGGGGGAAAAAAAAATGTTACAGAAAAATAGTTTGATACTTTAATACAGCGGTCAAATTGACCGCACCGGTTGTTCTAGTATTAAGGAAGCAAGTCAATTTGTGCTTCAGAAGAAAGGGTTTCGAAGCAATTTTTACGTTCATACACAACTTTTGAGAGCTTTTCCAAGCCTTTGATTTTACTTCGGAGTCAGACCGAAGGCGGAGGGAACGGGAACGAGGTGAAGGTGCCGAGTGTGTACGACGCAGACTTCGATTCCTACTTTACGAGCTCGACCCCGAGGAGTACGACGGCGAGACTGAGGAGTGGAGGAAATGAGAACAACGCGAAGGTGCCGAGCGTGTTCGACGCAGACTTTGATTCCTACTTCACGAGCTCAACGCCGAGGAGCACATCGCAGGGGCAGAGGAGCACAACGCATGGACTGAAGAGTGGAGGAAATGAGAACAACGCGAAGGAGCCGAGCGTGTTCGACGCAGACTTTGATTCTTACTTTACGAGCACGACAGCGAGAAGCACGAGCGGAGGGAAGGATGTTCTGGAGCCCGTGTCTGGCGTGGATGCAAACGCCGTCCTTGATACCATGCTGAACCTCAGTAGGACTGTCCTCGCCCGAGCAGATGGGAGAATCCCTCTCAGCGACATGCAGCTTCCCATCTTACCAAGGTATATTGAATTAGAGGTCTGCTTTATGGTCAACTTATCATCTTCCTTACACTCCTATTCAGGTACTGGACATGCTACACGGGTTTCCTGCCATCATAAGAATTACTGACAAACCAATTGCACATGGGAAGACCAGTGGCATACGCGAATGGGGGGAGGGGCACTCGAGTCCCCTTTGGCCTTCGTCAACCCCCCAGAACTGATGGCATTTTTCGGCAATGGTTACCATGCAGTAGATTACTCGAAATGGGTTTAAGGTTATGGAAATGGGTACGATATAAATGATAATCGGTAATGGGCAGCTCAAGCTTGCTGTGATGTATCGAGTAATACCAAGTAATGAAGAAGTTTTTCTAACTCTCATGCGGCACAGAAGAGGTTCACCAAGTAACCACCTTTTCAAAAGCATCCAGACCCTCTCAAGATGGAAGTGCTCAATCGGTGCAGATACTCAAGATTTTCGCACAATCTGTTCTCCATTGAAAAGTCAAGCAATATTGGGATCAGGCACTTGAAATTTGAGTTGAAATGCCCGCGTGCCGGTACTTCCCGTACAGTCCATTTTGAAGTGGTGATGCAAGGAAACCATAAAAATGAAAGTGGATACGGTCGTGAAAGGGAAAATGTTCGATTAAGCGTACAGGAAGGAATGGGAATCGCGTACGAGATTGGGGGAAATGGGTTGCCTGTAAACAGAGGTAGGATATCCCATACCACTGATTCATTTTCTACCAATGCCAGAAATTGAATTTTCAAAACATATACTGGGTTTTGTGTTTTCGAAACCCTATTGGCCTAACATTGCAGTTTTTCATAAGAATAATGGATGCTTATCCATTACCAGTGACATCCTGGGGTGAGGAAGAGTTTCTCAACGCTAAAACTTTAATTCAGCTTGACGAGCAACCTCCTGAAACTGGTAATGTTCTATGACGACCCATGACCACACGTTTCTTCGTTCCTATGATGGCTCAGGTGGAACGAACGAGCTCATGATTGGTCTCCACCTATGGGTACTTCCGATGGAAACAATCAGATAGTGCGTGCTGTGCTTATGCGACTGGAAAATCCGGCGACATCCACAACAGGACCCACGTGTTTTCGCTCAGTGTTTCAGGGTAATCGACACCATATATATTGTTAGTTTTCCTTGGACGGTCAACCTGGAAACACTTTGTACTCTCGGGATGAATTTGACCTTTACCAGTTTCAAGGGACTGGCACTACTGGGTACCACATTATCTTTCACAAGTTGGTCCCTGAAACATGGGGGGCTCCATATCTGCAAATTTTGTCAGATTGAAACTCTTAAATTCTCCGAGCGTGTTGTATCCAGCATATAGGAAAGGAACGATGCACCAATGTTTGCAGTAAGAATAATCCTCCGATGCGACCGAGATAGTTCTGAAAGAAAGCCTCTCACTTATCCTTTAAAAAAAAAATTAAAGACGAGACAGAAGTTCTGGAAGCTCTCTGCAACTACCCCAGTAGACCGTCGGCTGTCATAAGGGGGCCATACCAATCTATTATACCTATTAAATGTTCAATGAATATGTTCATCTTTAGGCGCATGAAGCGTATTTTAACCTTTTTCTGTTTGTGGGGTACCCCATAGAAAAGGTCATGTGGCACCCAGTGGAAGCATACTTGAATGTGCCTGTGTTACATATTAAATTGCGGAGGGAATACCTTTTTAGGGTCCACGGAGATGCGTGGAGACAATTGCTTCATCAACTATTGGTATTTGAAAAGAAAGCTGCTGCTTCACTCAGGCCTTGCATTTCATTTTTTCTCTTTAGGAATCTCTCACGGATCCCCTTCCTGAATTTGTTTTTGCCGCGGAATCCGCTTCTGGGTCTCACCAACGGCTACGCGACTGGCATCGAAAGTATCCACCGAATTGTAAATGCGTTTCCCCCCTTTAATAAAAAAAAAAGAAATTTGAGGGAAACGCGAAGAGATTTTTGTCGTATTAGGGAGACGCGACGCTGTTCAGGAGAGGCCGGGATTTCATCCTGGAAGCACCGTTGAGAGTGGACTCCTTGCAAGTCTACTTCAAGGGCTTCATCAACTTGGTTTTGGCCCAATTCTCACTGAATGTGGGTGGGCTCATCCGAGACGCCGACGTCAAGATCAAGGTCTGTTAGTTCTTCTATATTTAAACATGAAACGTATTGGGAATGGTGGGTGGCATGCACCAGATTCATTTTCTCTAAGTTGATACATATTATTACTTTTTATCATGCAAATTCTCAATGGACAGACTAATTATCCCACCCTTGAAATTAGAAATGTGTTCCTGTAGTTCAAATTTCCCTGTTTTTTTTTTTAAATACTTATCCTTCATAATTTGATCATGAAGAGAATCGAGTGACGGATGTGCTTGCGTGTATGTCAGGCCCGGACGTCGATCAATATTGGTCGAGCCGGAGGGGGAAGTCAGCTGGCCTTGGAGGACTTCGATATCCTTAAAGTGGGGGACATTCGAGTGGCCGTGAAAGGCCTGGATCCCTTCTTCAACGACCTTGCCAGCATCGTACGTTTTCTCAACCTCCCTTCATCATTTTCAATACATCATTGCACCGTTCCTTCGCCCTCCTTCATCTTCCTCTTTGTTCTCTCTATCCAATCCCCACCATCATTCCTAGCAATGATCTTGGAGTTCTGAGCAGGTGCATTAAAAGGTTTAAAAATCAGGTGATTCTTAGTTTTGGCTCCTGCCCTTATTCCTGATGAAGGTCGTCAAGAACAATCATGTCGTACCGTATCAAATGTTCCACGTGGAGAAGTTGCAGCGCCTTAAGGTAGGACTTGTAAAGCAGCTTTCTAATAATACGTATTCTCACTCCCACGACACACTTTCTTGCTCACGAATGAACTACAAAATCTGTGTAATCGGTATATATTCGCTCCACTTTTCAAGCTCTCCCAAATTTGCAAAGTTTCATCTGCTTTGGCAGAACGTGCCTTCTCAGGGAATCGAGTACCACTTCAGCGCTGAATGCCAAGCTTTGGGCTTCGTCTTCGTATTGCTTACGAAGACGAAGCCCAAAGATCGATTTAAAGCAAAAATGACCGAACGGGTTTCAACGAATGAATTATCATTGAACTCACCTTGTCATGACGGTGTGCTTTTTGGTGGTCACAAGTACTAATCTGATGCTGGAAGCATTAAAGGAGAATAAAAAGGAAGGATAGATAGCGTACAAGATAGGACTAAAGCAAGAGCTACTGGACCAATTTTGACTAATGGGATGTGACTGGGCTGGACTTCGGACGGAATGCTTTCTGGGGGTCTCAAGAACTCATTCGGCACTAAAAGCACTGCAGAGTATTTCTAATAAAAAGATCGCAGATAGAACTACAACTATTACTGGACTGATTTCGACACATGAGGTACCGTTGGATTCCTTTCTCTCTCTCTTCAGCCAGGAATCGTCTCAAATGCTTAGGTAGAATGGGAAGTACTAAAATGAAGCCATTATCCGAAACAAACTGGCCGACTCAGGGCATAAAAATGCACTATGCATATTAATTTAGCATATGAGGATTCAGGACGACTATGCATTTTTGCGGTGTCTTGAGTACTGAGCCACTGCATTACCGAAAGTTTTGAAAAGCATTTACAATTGGAAAATCCAGTATGTCTCTTATAGCAAAGACTATTGGACAAGCTAGGTGCCGTTGCATATATTTCGCCTTGGCGATGGACAATTTTGTATCTCACGTCCTCAGAGCCTAGTACGGCTAGCCGTACTAGGCGTAATGGAACTTGTTCGTTGCAGTTCCTCCATCAAGAAGTAAGCAGATACTTCATGCTTCCCGGACGATTCCTTGCGCCCAAGTCATGTTTCCTTGGCTTTCGGGATGTGATCCCAAACGATTCTTATTGTTTCTAACCCTTGGGTTTTGCTTTCTATAAACTGAGTTTGCAGGAAAATTCTATACTTGCCATACCGTCAATCATATGTTGTGTATTTTACCCTAAACTTGTTCAATTTCGACCAAGATTTTGCGGTGGATTGGGTTTTCCGAACTTGTTTTCATATTTTTAATCTCATTTGCTTTATTTTCCTTGTCTGCTCAGGTAGCGACAGGAGTGAAGGACGTGTTCCGAGATTTTATCTACGACCTGATTGAGCCATTGGTGCAGAGGACGATCGAGAACGGATTCTCTCGAGGCATGAACCGGGTCAACGACAGCCCCCAGGCCTCCCGCCGCTCGTGACCTCGCTTCACCTCGTATCACTCCTGACTAGGGCCTCCTGTTATAGGGACTTCGCTGTGCTCGTGCTTGGAAGACTCATCGTTTGGATTGATGAATGCAGGCCGACGGCCTGTCCATTAAAGTGTATTTCCTTTTTATGACTATTCAGTGCCTTTCAGCCAGGCTTTGCGTTGCCTGCCTACTCACGTGAGATATGGAGAAATATGCAATGAAGCTGGCTGTTGGGGAATAGAATGAGGGCAATTTTGTTTATGAAGAGTTAACCAGGCCAGGAATATTTTTGGATGAATTCCCAGCCACGAAGACCACAGAGCCAAGAGTCGAGAAAGCTAGGACTGAGAATCCTCAGACGTTCTTAATCCCCCCCCCCCCACCCACACACACACACACACAGAAAAAAGTAATAATAATAATACTTATAACGAATCCTACTGGCTAATTCCGAAAAACAGCTCATCCGAAACAAGGAAACGGTTTTGATCACGTTTCCGAATGATTTGACGATCGCCTCGAAACCTGTGTTTTGAAATTCAATGTATCGCGTTATAAAGTTCTCCGACAGATGTCGCGAGTAAGAAATCTACAGAAAAATCTCGTCAGTTTTCTCGTCGAGAACTCCGGAGAAATAGGAGAAAGGAGATGGTGCCTTTGAGTTGCACACCTGGGATTCCCAGAATGGTCGTAACCATGAGGACATCAATAGGTCTTATTCCTTGCAGCGAAGCAACGATTAAGTCCAGGCACGTTCTGCTCGAGGCAATAGGATGGAGAGTGACATGCAGCATCGTAGTTCGTGGCACGATTGCCCTTGAGGAAGAGGGGAAGTGGAGCGGGAAGCCATGAAAGGAAACTGGAGGAAAAGGTCTCAGTCGCCTCAGATTTTCTCCTTTTTTTTGCGAAGGGAATAGGCGGTTTCTCAAGAAGTAACTGGATTTCTGGAGTAAGAGGAAGAATTCGGGTGAAGAGTATATGTTACCAGTAGATTCTGACCAGAACAGGTCCCCCTTTAGAGCAATTTTTCTTTCCCCTGCAATTTTTCCCTTTCCCGCAACTGATACACAAAGATTCTTTTTAATTTCCATGGCGCACGTCTGCGCCGGCATTTTCAACGAGCTTGAATCTTGCGAAGTGGAAATGGAAACGTAAATGCCCAGGTAAATACATTCCAAAAAAAATATTGTGCAACGATTCGTGCATATTCTCCCCGGGGCCTTTGATAAATAAGGAATTCAGGTCCAAATGCCGAAACTTGGGGCATTACGAAACGCTTCGACTGTAGTTGTGACTTTTTGAACCAAACTTTACTTTAAATTTGAAAGAAAAGGAGCGATGTCCTAGATATGGAGCATGCGGAGAAATTGGAAATTCTTTTTTTCTTTGGTGTCGGAAGATAGATCACCAAGAGAAACGCAAATGAAACAAAACCAGACAAAATCGATTCGCTCTAGTTATAATTCTGCAAGAGCGGTCATGTATTGTGTACTGAATCGAATATGAAGAATTCTTTCCAAACGATGTCATATCGTCACCGCGGCATGAAATTCCAACCAATGACACGGGGAAAAAAGAATGCTGATATGAATGATGAAAAAACCAGGGGAGTGTGAGGTTTTCTTATTTATTTATTTATTTTTACTGGCTTGCAGCATTTAGTTCATGGGCACACTTACAAAAACTTATAGTTCACTGGGTTTTCCATGCACAGCAGTGAAAGTCGACAATTTTGACGAACGGAGAGTGAAAGATTTTATGAGGGAGATCGTCTTACAACTTGTTGAAAAGATTCGTTTAAGAAATCAGGGAAACCGAGCAACTAACAGGGATGGGAATTTTCCTTACTGCGTGGAGTGGATAGTGCTTTTTTTTTTAAATTCGAATAGATTCCATTCCTCACGTGAAGAATTTAATCAACAATACAATAAATTCCTGTGCGTCGAAGGTCACGGGATGCGATGTTGATTTCTCTTCCTCTCGTCCGTTCCAGCAATCTGGCCAAGGACTTTCTTTTCTCTGCCCCATTCCTTCAGACTCAATCTCTTCAGGCTGTGTTTACTTGGCGATGGTCCCAGTTCCTATGCGTACATAAAAAGTTCTTGCTTTAAGGAAAAACCAGTGGCTGCTGCCCCGAATTAGTCAAATTTAAATTAATATTGCATGAACTTGAAGGTAATTGTATGGACGTGTGCGGTTCGTCCTATTTACACAAATTCCTGAGTGGCCTTAGCCACCCCTAAAAAAAAAATTGCATAATTAAATCCTAAAAAGGAAAGAGGGAATGATATACTGAGTATAATATACAGGGTGTTTAAGAATTCGGAGTACATAAGGAAATTTCATGTTAAAATAAAGTACGCATAAGCAGCAAACTATTCTTACATCATTTGACTCAAAATGGCTTAGAAACGTGAAATTAATTATTGTTTACATTAGTGGTTGCGTGGGGTTCGTGACCTCATAAAAAAAACCCATGAGATTTCGTCATAAGAAAAGTCACACTTACAAAGAAAACAAGAGAGCTCAGCAGGTAAGAACAAGGGTGCGAGATTTTCGAAACGCTTCCATCGCTCTAAGAACAAAATGACAAAGGTAATAACATCAGAATTGATTAAGGATAAATAGTGGTTCATTGCGCAAATTCATAACGGTATACGCGATTGCTGAACGTGTGGAATTGATCTTCCTTGTTGGAAAGAACTCATTAAGGCAAATTGCTGTTCTATATCACCAAGAGCATCCAGATCGCCCAACACCTTCCCTGACGATCATTACACAATTAGTGAAACGGTTCAAGGAAAGTGGCAGTGTTGCTTACAGGCCATGTACTGGTCATACTTTTTCGTACAGAGGCGCAAGACATGGGGATCAAGTCCACTGCATCCTCAAAGTTCATTAATTCCATCCATACAAAACTCATGGACGGGAGTGAACTTTGCAATATGATGATGGAAATGGTGAGCAATGATCTGAAGATTCTAATGCGGATTTACAAGGTAACTGCTTGCCAGTCGACGGTGTCCCATTCGAACATCTCATCTGAATGATTGGAGGACCAGAAAAACAACGATTAATTTTAGTTTTTGTGAGTCATATGAGATCCAATGAAGCAAGAGAATTTCAATACCGAAGCATTCATTATTTCACAATGAAATTTCCCTCTGCGTTTCAAATTCTGAAACGCTCTGTAAATTAACTTGTCAATTTACAGTTGCTGGTTTTGGAGATAAAAAACTTGAGTGATTCAATTGGACATTCGCCACAAATAACCAACTGAAAGAGTTGAAATGATTTACATTCACTCATTACTTATCATCAAAATTAAAAAAAATTATTACGTTACTTTTTAAATCAGCTTCTTTCTTCTACTGAAAATTTTAATAAAAATCGCTCTATGCTGAATATCGGAAGCAGAATATCAACCAAATTCCCTCCAAACTTTCAGCTTTCTTTTTAAAAAAAAATGCTTAGGAGATGGTCTCTGAAGTTTAAAATTTAACAAACCGATAAAGCCAGATATCAGACATGAAATATTGATACAAGTTTTTCTGAGAAAGGCTCCATTTTAAAATAAAGTGTTAAGGATCCAAAAAAAAAAAATTTATTTTTATTTCAGCGGATTCGTCATGTATTAGAGTGCACGACTTTATCATTTTCCGGAAATTGTACATTTTTGCCATTGTGTGGATTTTGGGGATAGCCGATCCCAAAAAAAAACCGCAGAAGCCTATGATTGAAATTGTTCTCACCCTCCCACCTCCCACCTCCAAGTAGCCACTGCTCACCGCTTCTACCTAGGAAGAAGTGAATTACCCGCCTGGGCCTAATTCCTAGGCACAGAAATAAAATTACGTAAACCGCCGCCCTTGAAATGGATCGTATCTAGAGCATGGCACGCGCGAACACTCAAGCGATGGAGTCTCTAACCGCGCGACACGTGGAGCACGTGAACCCCATGAGGCGATGAGGCGACACGTGGAGCCTATGACCTCGACGCCGGGAACGAGACAGGGTGACCAGGTATCACGAGGGGGTGGCGTGATCGTGGCGTGTTTAGAGATAGACACGCGGATCGCGATCGTACGATCCGACCACTCCACGCTATCAAAATAAATCCTTCCGAAAGGAAGTCCGGGTCGAGACGGTCGCGATCGATGACTCTGCATTCGTTCGTGATATGCATGTAAATCGGTCTATTTTTTACCCCTTCGAGTGTTATGAAACCGGGGAAAACCGCGGGAGACATGTTGAGGAAACCCCCAACCCCGAGCCCCGGGTGATGGGAAGTTAGCATTCGACCGAGTCGAGTGAAATCGCATCGCGACGATCCACGCGAAAAGCACGCCTTGAACGAGCCGCACCTTAAGCGAATTTCTGAAAGTTCCGAGCGAAACCTTGCTCGAATTTCAAACAGATTTATTTAATTTCGAATATTCGGAAAGGGAGGCGAAACCTCGCGTTCCACTGCTTGTCTGCGCGTGGATCAGCTCGGATCGCTTCGCATCTGTCGCCCGAGAGCAGTGCAAGCGATGCTCGGGAACTTTCCTCGAATGAGAAACGGATCACCGGTTGCTTTCGTCCCGGTCCCTTCGCCTTGAGTGTAGGACAAAACGGCCCCGGACGAAACGGCCCCGGACATAATGGTCCCAAATGCAATGTAGGACATAAAACCAGCTTCTTTGAATAAGGATTAATTTTTCCCTCACATATGTTGATATGCTGTTCAAATTCTGTCGGATGTATAATTGTAAACTCCAAAGTTGCTTGAATCATTAAATGAAATTACTAATCTATTAAAATAATTATAATTCATTTTAAAAAAATGTCATGGATGCAATTTTTTTTAAGTACAACAAATACTAAAATCGGATGGTATGACCAACTCCATGCAGGATTTAAATCCCTCTCCATACTGTGTGCAATGTGCAAAGCCTCTGCTGCATTTCCTTGTATACCCGCTTCTGCCTCTTCTTGGGGGGATTCCCTGCAGTTTCTTGCAAAATTGTGTTGTTTGACCGTATTCAAACCAATAATACACACTCAAGAATGAATAAGATATATTTCGGCAAGTAATGCTGCCACTTAGGTATAACAGGACGATAAAATATAAAATACTTACCATGCACACAATCACCTATTCCACGGGAGAATAACAGATCTTCCTTCTTTTTTTTGTACTCCGTAAGCGTATGAATATTTGAATAGAG